CGCAATCTGATTGGCTAATTTGCCGTTGTCGATAAGAGTCCAGACAACGCTGCTCGTGTCAATGTGTCACACAATGCCTTTTTCAGCTCGCGCTCTGAAAAAAAAAGGCATTTTCTTTGACCCTGATATTGTGGTAAAAAACAAATCGAAATGTGGTTAAGCGTGGTCTGCACTCTTATCGACAATGATATGCGTCATCACAGTGGTCAAAATTTGTTGTGGACTCGCTCGGCTGTGCCTCATGAGTCCACAACATTTTGACCACTGTGATGACGCATATCGCTGTCAATAAGAGTACAGATCACGCTAAACCACATTCGATTTGCTAAAACAAGGTTGCCGAGTGTTTTATTTGGTTAATCTTGTGTCTGAACATTCATCTTTATCCCAAAACCATTCACCCGCGACTTTTGTTATTGAGATGACAATCACTCGTATAACCACAGACCGAATTGGACTCCACTCAGTCTATTACCAGTACTAATCAAAAACTCGGACAGAGGTAGACGTTCTTAACTGACAGTTAAATCAGGTACCTAAAAATAATCGAGACGAGTGTATCTTTAATTTCATTTAATTACTACACTTGATGATGTTACTTTTTTAGCAAGTAATTTTTGGCCACACCTTGTATGGCAGTTTCAATTTACGATAGCTCACAGATAGACCTCTTTGAGTTTTTGCTATGAAGAAATATCCTCTTAAGAGAAAAATACCCCTTAAGATTTATTTGTTTGTTCCTCGATTATCACTGTACTCTTTTTCCTAGTTCGTAGACTTAAGTAGTGATTTTTCAAAAGTGCTGTGGTATAATTATCACTTTCCATTCTTTTTTTAAAACATCGAACATTCCTATATCGAGGTTAATTTATTGCAATCTTAAATGATTTATCTAGGTACTTTGTTCGTTGCAAGTAATAGTTCAGGGTTACCGATATGAAAATTTGCTTTCACGTGTTAAGACATGGCTGGCACAACACTTTTTTGTATATGAGAAATGTTTTTATCGGTGCAGAGAGTTGATGTGAATTTCTTACGCAAACGTTTTTTATAACTGAGTGGATAAACATCAACAAGAAGTCAAATTAAAAAAAAAGCAATATATTTAGAATAAAGATATATTTTTTATAGTATACAATAAAATTGTAATAGGGTTCAGAAATTGAATCTAAACCAATAAACTTTGAACATTAATGAAGTGTCATGGCTTTCGGTTTCTGAGGACCGTTCGACGGATCTGATTGTTAAGCAATGTTGCTGCCCACATCCATAGCCACTCCGGACAGAATCCCACGAACCAGCCCTGTGGAAAAAAAAAATTCACAAGTAAACGCAGTGCATGGTCGAGTTCTGCGAAACTACAGTGAGCGACAATAGTGTTGAAACACTTCGCAGTAGAATTCAATTTTCGAGCGTCTGGGAATCACACGCCCCACCCCTCCCAAACAATGTTGAATTTTCTATTTCCAAGACAACGCAGATCACAGCACCTACACAACATTGAATCGGAGGGCCAGGGGTATCGGAGAATTAACGCTAGATGCAAATGAAGTAGAATAAGAGGCTAAATATCGAAAAGCGTCATTTCCTAACAGTGTCTCAACTGCTTTTGCCAACTATTGTAGCTCACAAGATGCGAAGCTTGGGAAAGTGGGCTCACTGTTTTATTAGACATTTTCCATTAAACATTTAGCATTGGGATGCTAAAAATAATTTCGAAAACTCTATAATTGTGCCACCTCCGGCAATCTTAGTAAAATTTTGCCAACGATGAAAAAGCCAGACAAATTGTCGTGTTTTGTAATTTGAGACCTGTCAATGAGGGGTTTTTTTTTACATGTACCAAAAAAGGTCATTTTTTTCGAGCCAAAATGCAACCTTGTAAACAACCGACTTTGCGTTTTTCGGAGCATTCTCATTCGTCCAAATTAGCCACTTTAGAAACAAGAGGAAACCTGGGGCGGTCCACAAGCCACTACGAGATGTGACTCGCCCCAGATTTCTCCTCATTAATTAAGTGGTGAACTGCCTATGAAATCAAGACAATTTTCGTTTCGATGTTATCGAGATTTATTAGCATCCTGAGCATTTCCTCGCTT